TTGTTATTCTTTCAACAATGTCTATCTTGTTGTTCATCACAGTATGGTTCATGTCCTGTACATGTGTACCCTTGTTTCGAGCCTCGAATCAAGATATCAACACAACGTAATCCTGAGATTCGTCTTGGTATAGATTGATCATTCTATGTACGGCTCCCATGCTAACAATCATTGATGAAGATAAATAGAACTATAATCATGTATGCCAGTATAGCGGTTACTTATGGAGAATGACATGGGATGGAGAAGCTGGGAATGGATGCACCTAACCAAATATTAGCATGCTGGTGCATCCAGATAGATATGCCATGCCTTCACTCACCTCTTCCCTTCATTCACGGCTCGCGGGCAATAGACAAGAGACGCAGAAGGTGGAACAAGGAGGGGGAGACCTGGCATACGCCACCCATTCCCTTCCTTATGTCCTAGCTCATAGCGGCTTCTCCTTGCCTCTCCTACTGTGGATGGACAAACTCCGTTCGCAACAGTAGGTGGTTTATCCAATCGTTCAGAGGGTTTCATTTATCCCAAGTGGTGCAGGATTTCGCCCAGAATGACGGATACACATTCATGTCCTGTCTATCCCTCGCTCGATTCCTTTCCTGGCATTTGTTGTTGGCCACTTGATTCTTTGTGAGGCCTCAAATCACTCTTTCCTCTCTTTCCTAGTTGTTGCTGACTCATCTCTGAGATGGATGGGGATGGGAAATGGATGAGGCAAGCCAGGATCATATTCTCCTTTCATTGTCCGATCCTGCTGTTACCTTTAAGGACCTAACAAATCAACTCCTACAAATAAATGATGGGTCACAAACAAGCCTCACGTATCCCTTTATCTTCATCAAGGCTTGTATATCCTGGGATCTTGAACAGGGGCAGGTGAGAGATGATGAAAAGTACTATTCGCACCATCTCGTCCCTTTCTTACCTTTATATCCCGTACTCTGCTCCTTCATCCACTCGAATCGGGTTTGATTGTGGCTTGCGTCAATTCTTGTCCCAAATGGGTGTGTCTTAAAATGGGGACCTCCCACTTTCGTGTTCTTGGCTTCTGGTTTTCCTTTCAAAACCACGAAAAAAAGTACCCTCAACACAAAGAAACCACACCGACATAGACTCACCCCAGGGATCAAGGCTCGACGCCAACGGCTGGGTTTTAAGTCGTTGATCCATAAGGTGTATGGGTATGTGTCAAAATAGGTGACCCCCAAGCCCTCAGAAACAAACACACTCAGGTGGCATCCCCACTGCCGAACCCTCCCTGAAAGCTGCTCCGAACCGCTCTTGAGCCTATCTGGCCTATCGACCCCAAAGCTTTCAGCTGCTGGGGGGAAAAACGGAAGTTGACTCCAAATTCGAAAATGGTCATAACAGCCCGGAACTCTGAGGCGCCCGCCAGTAGAAGCACATGATGTGGTCGTGGAAGGGTTTGCTCTTCGGATGGTTCCGTGGCGTGCCAAAGACCTGACGAAAGCCAAGACTGAAGCGGGTGAAACCCAAAAATCGGGCTGAAGCTTCTCGCGGCGCGGGGGGGGGGGCTTGTTTGGGTATGAGTTTCCCTTTGTAAAGCCCATCTTTGGTCCACGCGCCTTTAGGGGATCGATTTCACAGCCTAGGGCACGGATCCGGATCGGGCTTGCACCAACCAGGATTCAACACCCGCCCCAAAAAGCCACGCATCAAGCAATGTGGTACCAAAACCCCAAGAAATGCTGGGTGGTTTTGTGGTCATTTGACCAAAAGCTAGCCATGCTAGCCGATAGAACGAAGCACGAAGCCCCGGCAAGTTGGAGCACATTGCAGGGTGCCAACTGCATCTGTTTTGGGGGACTTGTTTTTGTTGGAAAAGGGAAACCAAAAGGAAAGCTGTTGCGCCAGTTTGGGGGATCCGATTCCAAAAAGACCATCCACCCATTGGGCTGGCATCCAGCATTGCATGGCTTTGGGCCGTGCCGCGAGGTGGGGTTCCGACAATTCGCACCCACCAAACGTGCCTGAGTGAACAGGCCCTTGATCAGCTGAAGGTAGGACAGTCGGCTGAAGTTCTGGTCGAAATACCTCAGTGATCTTTGCAACGAGCGCGACTCGCCTCCTCGAGGTTCTCTTGTCTGCGAAAACGGCCGATCTGTGAACACTTGCCCCCACTTGGGATGTCCAAGATTGGGACCTGCCACAAAGTGTCCTTTTCCTTTTGGCTTCCCTTCAAAATGCCATCCCAAGTGGGGAGTTCTCATTTTGGGCACAAGTGGTTTGGCAAAGTCTTTCAGAGCCAAGCTGAGGACGGGGCAGAATCGGGCGAGACCCCAACAAACAGTTTCCAGCCTCGGTTCTTGCCAAGGCTGAAGCCAGTGTCAAATTTAAGCCGTGAGGGTTCTTGCGATCCAAACCTAGTGAGTCCCTCATGCCCCTGCTAAACTCACCATAAACAAAGCAGGATCTTTCGGCCAAACCTTGCATACAATCTACTTGTACACGGGCGAAACTACGGGCGAAACTGCCTCTCTCTGACCAAGAAGCTAATCTAACCTCCTGGGTGGTGTGAATGTTCAACACCTGGCAGCTTTGCAGCCCTCCGGCTCTAGGAGCATCCGTGACTCACTGACCACGCCTGAAACTTCATGGTCGGTCCAGAAGGAACTCGCCCAACCCACAGATACCTCAGCAGCATTTCTCCCCGGAAATACGTGCAACTGCTCAGAAGCAAAACGACGTGCGCTTCGTTTAAATGCAGGGAGAGCCACAAATCCTCCCGCTTCCGAGCTTCAAAGAAGACCACGTTATTGCAGTTCTTCAGCTCGCAGATCTGCAAGGCGATAGGTTGAGGGAAAGCGCCAAAGTGAGCAGTACCCAAAACCCACATCAGTGACTCCACAAACACATGGTTATATCCTGTAACAATGCATGTTATATATACACATAACCCTTCCGATATGCCATGTGAAACCAGGTAGAACCACCTGCTCAACTGGTCAATAGACATCGGGTTTGGTTGCCAGTGGCAAGCGCAAATGCAACTAGTTTTTTCTAGCACCAGGCAACTGAAGGGCAGATCGGCCTCATTGATCTCATTGAAGTTCGACCTTTTCTCAAACTTGGGTTCCTGGCAGGTTGCAGCTGGGAAACCCTCCCCAAGAAAGGTTCGACAGGAAGGTTCAGGCTCTGAGAAGAGCTGAGATGCCCGATTCCAGAGGCTGAGAAAAAGCTCCTCTCATGTGGCCATGGGTCAAAATCCCGTACCCCCAGTCAACATCCCAATCCCACTAAAATAGGTTCTAAAATGGGTGGTGCACCCACCCCAAAATGGGATCCCATTGGTTTTGACCTGCCATGTCTCTGCTGACTCCCCGGCTCAGGACATGGCCGTGGGTCAACACCAATAGGATCCCATTTTCGGGTAGGTGCACCACCAATTTCAGTCTATTTTAGGGTACGGGGTTTTGGCCCATGGCCACATGGGGTTCAACAAAAAGCGCCAGCCAGCTGCGCCGTCTTGTGGTGCGGCAGCAACTTGCGGAGGTCTTCGCAAAGATGCCGAAACCTGCCAAGGAGTGGTGGGGAGGGTACAACTACTTGGGGACGGCCCTTTTTGGTCGCTATGTGATAGGAACCTAAATCCAACCATTTGAGGAAATGCCGCCTTTTGATAGGGAAACCAACAGGAAGCTTAAAATGGTGGACCTAGAAGGGTATAACCATAAAAACAACTGGAACAAGGGTTGACTAATACCCAAAGGTTGAGTAAAAAGGGTCGATTTATAACCAAAGGTTCAGTAACAAGGGTTGATTAATAACCATGGTGCAAGCCTACCTACAGAGTAAGACCAACATCCAAGACGCCCCCGCTCTCCCTCTCGTTTGCTCATGGCCTGTGTCTTTCGGGAACCTACTTGGTCACTTGGGGGACCTAGGGGGCACACCCAAAACGTGTGGCTGTCCCAAAGGGTATCCCTTTAACTGGGCTGTCCGTTTTCAGATCCCCCGCCAAAGTTAGTAGTCACTGCTGCTGAACCGGATGGCTTTCCAGCCACCAAGTCAAACCAAAGGCACTGGCGTCAGCTTCCTTCTTGGAGCTCCCATGTACCCTCAAGAACCAGAGCACGCCTAAAATGGACTCCAAAGGCATGGCTTTGGCACAAACATCGGAGCCAACCAAAGTGGGCCTCGAGGCATCCCACTTTCACTTTAAGACGAACCCATCACTTCGGATTCTGAGCCTCAAAAAACCGACCACATACCCAGGGGGTTGATCAAAAGGTCCTTCACACAGGATGACCATCAGGGAAGCCACTCGAGACTGTCCCCATTAAACGGGGAAGCGTTGCTGATGGTCATTTTTGGGGGCCAGGAATATTGATCAACCCGCACATCATGCGACTCATCGTCAGTTCGCCTTGCTGTGACACCTCTGCTGCAGAAGACCAACGTCCGCTGCTTGTTGCGCCATCTGGTGTCTTTTTGGATGTACCTGTGCCCAAATGGTCATGTTCCTGATAGTGTCTCTTTATAACAAACAACCCTGAAAACACGCACACACAGCGGACAAAAGCGGCTCCCTTCAAACACATCGAGCAAGGGCACGCCGCATCGGCCATCAAATACCTGCAGTGCGGAATAGGGTTGATGTCCACACTTGCGTGAAGAAGTGGGACCCTGATATTTAGTGCTTCACATTTGCGCCTGCCAAAGCCACCATGCATGGACCAAGCCACCGGGTCTCGTGATCTTCCGATTTGGTTGCTTCCCGACGTCTGCCATGTCTGGCTGCAATCTACAGTTGGGACAGTGTGACAAGAAAACACTCCAGATAGAAAATGAAGTGGGTGCGGGTCAAAATTAAACCACCAGGGGACCGCCTGTTTTAGTCATGGGTTCCACTTACCAGGGTTCCATTTTAGGTACCCATGTTTGACCCACAGCCAAGTAGGCACCAGGGGCGGACTGGGCTGTCTTTGCTATGCTCAACCGTTGCCTGGCTGAGCAGAACGCATGGCTCTTGTTTTCTCCAATCGTTTAATGATTGCAATGTATTTGGTTGCAGCTCATGGAAAGAAGACGGCTTTTGCATCTCGTAGAAGTACTCACACTATGGCAGTTGGTTGCAATTTGAGTGCAGCTGTTCTGCTTCATGAAAGACAGTGTAAGTGTGGATCTTATAATTCAAGGCTCTTCCTACACGGAACTGTACAAACAACTACGTGGCTGTGGCTCAAAAAACCGGTACCAAAATGGAACCCTGGTAAGTGGAAACATGCACCAAAACCTGCGTAACCCCTCCAGTTTCATTTTGAGCCACAGCCACGTGGCGACTTCTGTGACGTAGACTCACGCAGCACTATCTTGCTCAACCTTGACAGGTGTGTGAGTCTGATTGTTGCAAATGTTGCCAACCAAATTGTAGAGCGACACTGCATCATCGCGACTTGGCTGGGTGTTGCCGTGCTCAGTCATGGCACGAGCGGCCACCTTCAAGGCGACTTGCTTTCCATTCCGAAGTTGATGCTTCATCTCTTCTGTCAGCGGCACCTTCTTTGACCACCAATACCAAGACCAGTGATAGTTGCGCCTGTGCACCTTCTCCATGCCATGGTCATCTAATTCTGCGGGGATGTAGGTCTTGCCACCGTCGATGGAGACATCAACGCGAGCAATGCGATGACCTCCTCCTCCAAGCGCGATACCTCGGACTTCGACGCCATCCGCCAACGCCGAAGCCGCAGAAATGGTCTCATTGGGTTCTGGGACAATGACACTGCTGTGAACAGGCATCTCCATGACGCGGAAGATGGAGTTGTCTTGCCTGACTTCGAATCTTCCAGCCCTCTTGACTTCACCTCCTGTGAGGACGGTCTTTGCAATGTGGTCTTCGAAGTTCATGTTTGGTGGGTAGATCACTTCATCTGTATGGGTGTCCACGTGGCTCTCATGCAGCCCATCGCTGAGCTCCATCTTCGCCAACCACTTGCAGTTTCGGACTCCAGCGAAGCCGGGTACCAAGACACGCACTGGATAGCCGTGGTCAGGGGTCAGAATCTCGCCGTTCATGGTCTGTGCAAGGATGACATCACCAAAAGGATCAATGGCCTTTTCCAAGGGAATGGTTACTCCAAAGTTGGAGCCGGTCTCATCCATGTCATGGCCCGTCAGTCGCAAATACTTTGCAGGCAACGGTTGCGCTCCCAAGGCAATGGAATCCACATCTACACCACAGGCACGAAGCACATCACGAACTTTCACACCAGTCCAAACAGCGTGGCTGCCCCAAAAGTTGTTGTTGATTTCGTTCCTAGGAAACTCCACCTCCTCCCAATTGTCCCGATTGTCCGTGCGATGCAAGTAACGAGGATACTTTGCAGCTCCACCACAAATCATAGTGCTTTCTACAGTGGCTTGAGGTAGCTTCCTCAGATCTTGCAGCTTGAACACCCGGCTCTTAGAGCCGGGTGTGTTGACTTCGAACTCGTAGTCCTCCTCGACATTATCCCAAGTTGGAACTGGGAAGTGATTTCTCACATAGAAACCGCGAATTGGAGTGTAGAAGGATTCCAGAAGGTATTTTCCCATCAAGTTTGCCCATCGAGGTGCACTTGCAATGGTTTCTTGCAAGTCTCGCTCCGGCTCGTCCGCGTAGGGATTTGAAAAGATGGTCTCCTCGTAGGATTTCTTTCCATCAGACTTGCTCAGGCGTCCGATGAGGCAATTGCGATCCAAAAAATGACTTACATCTGGATGGACGTGGTAGACCTTGGTTGCTTTCTGCTTCCCTGCTAAAAGTGTTTAACTTTTAGTGGTTTAATGGAAAACCCATTGGTTGGCAAAAAGTTAAAGTCCTAACATCCAAGCAAAATGCACCAAAGAGACGTCCATGTATTTTTGGAGGTCGGTGCCCGCCATCATCATGATTCGACCTGGGCCTCCTGGGTGGATCTTAGCGAAGTTCGTAACGTCGTAGACGTGGCCCTTGAAAGAGATCCAAAGTCCATCGTCCATATTGTTGTGAGCCCTAAGCTCATCTAGGCCTATGATGCGCAGGTCCTTATCCTGTGGGACTTCTCCATCTGTCTTCACAGGGGCTCCGAATGTTCCACGGCTCGTTGTCTTGCAATCAATCTGCTTACAGAGACCTCCGCCTGCCAGCAGCCCTCCTGCCATCAGAAGCAGAGCATGTTCATGTCTTGAGCTGCTCTTCTTGATAAATAGCTGAGCACGCTGCAAAGCCGGAGCGAAGCGAGCCAAAGGCCTTGAAAACATGGCCGATCTCTCACGCAATATTGGATCTCGACACTGCACTGTGATTGTCAGATAGCTTGAGCACAAATAGCTTGAGCAGAACGCATGGCTCTAGTACTCATCTGATGCACAGCCAAACAGAAGGGTACCCTAAAGGACATGCAAAAAATTGGTGAGTCCTCAGGTCTTTGTGGGACATTTATTGTTTTCTCGGGAGGGGGGGGAAAAAAAAAAAAAAAAACGTCCCCGGGTGGTTGGGGGACATGGTGTGATCCCTGGATGTTTTTGTTTTGTTTACACTGAGCTGCCGGCGGATCAGGCTTCGCAGAGCTCTCTGCTTCCTGGCCACAGTTCGTCAAGCCTTCTACCTCCTGCCGAGTTCACTCGCCAAGAAACATTGAAGTCATAATCAAAGCCTGGGACTAAACTGGTGCAGAACCATGGCAAAGAAGCATCCATGTTGGTTGAGATTATCGCTTACTAACCTTTATCTACCCGAGTTTTGATTCTGGCCCATTTAAACTCTTGAGTTGTGCCTGGTTGGCTTTTTGGTTGGTTGATTGGTTGGTTGGTTGGTTTGTTCCTTCCTTCCTTCCTTCCTTCCTTCCTTCCTTCCTTCCTTCCTTCCTTCCTTCCTTCCTTCCTTCCTTCCTTCCTTCCTTCCTTCCTTCCTTCCTCGTTTCATTGGCTTGGTGATTTGTTGCCCCGTTGGTTCGCTGGCCCCTATGATGAAGCCTACCAACAACACGTTTTGCCAACGCGCCAGGTACACCTTCTTCAGACACGACTCTTGCAGAACGCTTAAGAAAGGTCTGGAGCTATAGGTGTTTCTCAAAGCGGATTTCGGACCACCTGGTGGTTGGTATTTCGAGAGAAGCCAAAGGGAAATCGTTGCGATCTGAGGCTGCCCTTTTTTTCAATTTTTTAGAAACACCCACAGGGGCCAAAAAACACCGTTTTGCAGGCTCGCCGCTGCGCACTGCCCCGACTTTTCTTGCCCGAAGCGGCCCGGTCGAGTTCTCACTTCCAAAAAGGCCTTGGTGTCGCTGCAACTCTCGATTGAAACGAACTGGCAGGGAGGCAGCTGGGATTCACAGGCAGCCAAGACCCAATCAAGGAGCACACACACACACACACACACACACACACACACTTGTCCCGCATCCCTTGTAATCTCTTCTGGGCAAGGGAGACAAAAGTCGCAGGGGCAACCTCATCTATCTGTGAGGGTTGGCCCAATTGGTAACTTTAACACCACCCTTCAACAGAGCGGGGTCCGTTTTAGTAAGACATCCTCACTAAACGGTGGCCTAAAGGGGCTTTCCACCGAAACCACTAAAAGCAATTGTGAGTTGGGACCTCTCTCCCAATGTGGCCACGTTTGTTGGACTCCAGATGCTCTGGCCGCGGTTCCCTAAAAAAAGCTGAGTCGGAAATCCGGGCGCCATGCTGGGTGGCGCGCACCAATCAGGATCCACGCCCACACCTTCGCGCAGCGTAGGCCCTGGGGCCCAACGTCAAGGACTACACTCTTCAAGGGGAAGCGGGCCCTCTCGCCAGTAGGCTGGCTGTGAGATTTTCAGACTTTTGGAACGGGACCCTTTGGAACCGAGGCAACCTTTCGACAAGCAGGGGAGAAGATTACTGTCTAGAGGAACTGAATCACCAACCTTATGGAAAGGGAGCCTTTGGACATCAGAAACTGCTTGGATGTACGTCCAACCATTTTGGACGGCCGCTGCAAAAAATGGCCAACCCCTCCAAAGACATGTCCGCTTCCCTCGCAATGGAACTCGCAAGAGAGGGATTCCCATCCCCATGCATTCCACTTTCTCGCATTCGGGGTGGGAGCTTGGTATCCCAACAAAATGGCAACATGCCACCTCAAGGGTTGGAAGTCACGTGAGCTACGCCGCTCTTCAAGGAAGGGGCCCCTGAGGCCAAGACAACAAAGGGAAGCACCGCAATCGCTTCCCTGGCCCCCAACGCTCTTTTTGAAGCGAATCAAATTCGGAATCCGCAGTGCGCATCACGCGTGGCTCTTGGCATGCTCGCAAGCTCGGCACCTTAGTCGAAGCACTGAACCGTGACTAAGACTCCTTTTGTAGGCGATGGTCATGGCTCTCTAGGGCGTTTGCACGCCGAAGCTTTGTTGAACCCCCATCCTCCGTTACAGAAGATACGTAAGTGGTTGTCAAAGTCGCCTCGCATGATGCTTGAGTTACAACCATACCCAAGAAACCACAACTGTTCATGCCTGTGAGCAATGCTAAGCCACCAACTTGACAAGCTGCATGCCAGTCTCTGCATTGGCGCACACTTCCGAGCAATCAATCGCTGAGTCGCAGCCTGAGAGCGGGCCACTACCAGAAAAAAACTGTGGTGTCTGTGTGTGTGGGTGTGTGCGTGTGCGCGCAGCTGCGTTTGCAATTGCGTCTGTGCTTCCGTCTGCGTTTGCGACTGCGTCTGCTTCCGCGTCTGCGTCTGCAACAGCGCGTGCGTCTGCGTCTGCGACTGCGTCTGCGACTGCGTCGACTGTGTCTGCGTCTGCGACGTGTTTGCGTCTGCATCTGTCTGCGTCTGCGACTGCGACGTGTCTGTGTCTGCGTCTGCGTCTGGTTCTGCGTCTGCATCTGCGTCTGCTTTGCGTTCGCGATGGCATGCGCGTTTACCTTTGGGTTTGGGTCGTGTGTGTGTGTGCTTTTGTGTTTGTGGGTGTGTCTGTGCGATTGAGCGGTTGTGTGGTTGTGTGCTGCGCATTGCGTGGTGTGTGGTGTGTGGTGCGCGGTGCGTGGTGTGTGGTGTGTGTGTGTGTGTGGTGTGTGTGTGTGTGTGTTGCGTGTTGCGCCTTGTGTGAGCGCTTGTGCTTGTGCTCGTGTTTGTGTCTGTGTGTCTGTGTGTCTGTTTGCGCGCGCGCGTGCGTGCGTGCGTAGGTGGGCGCGCGCGCGCGCGTGCGTGCGTGCGTGGGTGAGTATGTGCGTGTGGTGTGTGACTGTGTGTGTGTGTGACTGTGTGACTGTGTGTGTGTGTGTGTGTGTGTGTCTGTGTGTCTGTGTGTCTGCGTGTCTGTGTGTCTGCGCGTCTGTGTGTCTGTGTGTCTGTGTGTCTGTGTGTCTGTGTGTCTGTGTGTCTGTGTGTCTGTTTGTCTGTGTATGTGGGTGTGTGGGCGTGCGGGCGCTACCGCGTGCGAGCGTGCTTGCGGGCGGGCGTGCGGGCGTGCGGGCGGGCGCGGGCGCGCGTGCAGGCGTGCGAGCGCGCAGGCATGCAGGGCGCGCGGGGCGGGCAGGTTGGCGCGTTGGCGCGTTGGCGTGTTGGCGTGTTGGCGTGTTGCCGCGTTGGCGTGTTGGCGTGTTGGCGTGTTGGCGTGTTTGCGCGTTGGCGTGTTGGCGTGTGGGCGTCTTGGCGCGTTGGCGTGTTGGCGTGTTGGCGTGTTGGCGTGTTTGCGTGTTTGTGTGCTTCGGTGTGTGTGTGTGTGCTTGTGTGCTTGCGTGCTTGTGTGCTTGTGCGCTTGTGTGTTTGTGTGCTTGCGCGCTTGTGTGCTTGTGTGCTTGTGTGCTTGTGCGTTTGTGTGTTTGTGTGTTTGTGTGTTTGTGTGTTTGTGTTTGTGCGTTTGTGTGTTTGTGTGTGTGCGTGTGTTTGTTTGCTTGTGTGTTTGTGTGTTTGTGGGTTTGTGTGCTTGTGGGTTTGTGGGTTTGTGGGTGTGTGGGTTTGTATGTTTGTGGTCTTGTGTGTTTGTGTGTTTGTGTGTTTGTGTGTTTGTGTGTTTGTGTTTGTGTTTGTGTGTTTGAGTGGTTGTGCGTTTGTGTGGTTGTGTGTGTTTGTGTCTTTGTGTGTTTGTGTGCTTGTGTGTTTGTGTGTTTGTGTGTGTGCGTGTTTGTGTGCTTGTGTGTTTGTGTGTTTGTGCGTTTGTGCGTGTTTGTGCGTTTGTGTGTGTGTTTGTGTGCTTGTATGTTTGTGTGCTTGCGTGTTTGCGTGGTTGCGCGTTTGTGTGTTTGTGTGTATGTGTTTGTGTGTTTGCGTGCTTGCGTGTTTGTGTTTGTGTGTGTGTGTGTTTGTGTGTTTGTGTGTTTGTGTGTTTGTGTTTTTGTGTTTTTCTGTGTTTGTGTGTTTGTGTGTTTGTGTGTTTGTGTGTTTGTGTGTTTGTGTTTAACCCTTTGACCCAAGCACTTGTGCTCTTTTCTGCAATGATGTGATACACAGTGGCCCAGCTGGCCAGGGGCAACCCCTTTCCTAACAAGTTGAGCTGGACAAGCTCTGAGATGCAGGATGCATTGGGACAAGCTCTGAGATGCAAGATACATTGGGATCAGCAGGGTTCGATGCTTGCCAGCTGATGCAGTCAAGGCAGCTCTTGTGTGTTTGTGTGTGTGTGGGTTTGTGGGTATGTTTGTATGTACGCACTCTCAGGCCTGAAGGCAATGTGCAACCCATTCTCACAAAATAATAAGACAAATAGAATAAAAATAACATTGAAGCCAAGGTAGCAGTAGACTCGTAGGTCTGCAACACCCATGCTGTCCGCTGCATCCTGACACGGCCGCTGAACACCCAGTGATTTGCGGCAAGCTAACAACTGCTCAGTGCATGGCTGAAATGACCTCAACCTCACCTCTTGGTGTCCTGTATTTGGTGGGGAAAACCCCAAAAATACATTTCGGTGTTCCTTTCAGTTTCCCACACCATCCCCAAAACGGGAACCGAGCGTCAACAAAACACACTCAAAGGGTACGAAATCCATCACACACACACACACACACACACATACCAAGATGGCTGTGGGGTCACTTTCTAGTGCAAGCTTCCCCATTCTTTCCAGGAATCCTTCTTTTCAGGAAACCCTCAAAAAAGCAGAAAAGACAGCCGAGTGTTGAAAAGAAGATGATGGACAAGAATGGTTGGACTCAACCCCCAGACCCCTGAAA